GCAAATATAATAGAACATTTAGAAAAACATTTAAAATAAAATAAATAGTGACACAAGCATCTTATTATGGTTTGTTTAACTTGATAGTTATGGTAGTCTTTAAGAACTACTAAGGGGTTTCATTATCTTATTCAAGATTACAACTAAGTTTAACTCATCTTAGTTGTAAGTATTATCAAAGCACTCTTGGTTTTCTTAGTCAACCTGATTAATTGAGTATTCTAAACCACTCTTGGTTTCCCTAGTTAACCTAACTAGTTGAGTATTCTAAATCACTCTTGTTCCCTAATCAACCTGACTAGTTGAGTATTCTAAACCACTTCTGGTTTTCCTAGTCAACTTGATTAGTCTAAGTTTATTCACTCTTGGTTGTTAGTATTATAACCACTCTTGTACACACCGAATATTGTTATAACCACTCACGAGTTACAAGTCATCTTGTTAGAACAGTTCGCTAAATACAATGATAATGCAAACACAACTCCACATCTCCTTGAAAATCAGATTCCAAGATCCTGTTAACCGCAACACAGTCCCATTGACAAGGGGCCTCATAACCAACCAAAACCACCAGACCAATCAAGTTCTTAGATGATAAATTATCAGTGACTTTCTCAGCTCCCCAATTGTAACCAAATCGACTCTGTATTAGGCCTCCAATTCTACGTCTACACCTTTCTTCCTCAAGGTCGAAATCAAACTGAAAAGTCTCAAGCTTTTTTCTCCTGTGCTTCCTGTCACACCACACATAAAGCCCTAAGAGAGAAGACATCACCAGCAAAGTCACCCCAGCTCCCGTCAACACAAAAACAAGAGCCTGATGACTCTTTCCCCCAAAACCCACCGTGAATAAACCGGAATGCTAAAATATCACATACAAGTTGTCTACACATAACGACAAAAACTACGAGAGAAAAAAATATTCAAAACCCCGTACCTCAAAGCCACACACGACAGACGTGAGAAAAATCCAAACGCCAACCGGAAACCTCCACAACCCTCACCTTCACAACAACCAAAAACCTCCACAACCAACGATTGAATCGTCACAAACACAAAAATGGGAAGAAACTACGCCAATGAAGAACGATGGAGAACGTTTTTTAAAACAAAACCTAAATGGGGATTTCGATTGACAACCGAAACAAGAAAGAAACCCCAATTTACATTTTTACACTTTTACTCTCAATCAGTATACAATTTTCTTTTAAAAAAGATGACTTGGACCGTGTCAAACGAGTGTAAGTGTCACGTAGGGGTGTCAAGCTATTAGTACTCTTAGATTCCATCAGTTGCATACTAAAAATTTCTGCTATAGAATCAATACGAACCATTCTTCTAATATGATGAAGATGGGCATGTAAAGGAATATGGCTAACGTCACCCAGCAAAGTAATAAACTGGCCCTGATGGAGAAACTTTAATTGCAAAGATTCATAATTTGCTATGTGTGGACCAATAGTCTTCAACCAGCTTGCCCCCAAAATTAAATCAGCACCAGATATGGGAAGCACATAAACTGGCAGGTGGAAAGTACTTCCTTGCACGTGAATAAGTAAATCTTTAATCAAACCCTCTGCAGCCATATAATTCCCATTACCCACCTTGACTCGAAATGCATGAGCAGGTTCAACATTCAACTTTTAAAACTTGGCTATTCTTGGTTTGATAAAATTATCAGAACTCCTCCATCCACTAATGGGTAAATTGTTAACTAATGCCTCAAAACGGATAGTACCAACTCCTAACCCACCTTTTAACGCATTCAAGGATAAATGATGATCAATCTCAGTACCTTCATATAAATCCTAAATGGACTCAGTATGCTCCTTATTCACCAACAATTCATTGTCCAACTCATTCTCCTCACCATGCAACATCAGCATTTGCCTGTTGGGGCATTTATGATTAAAAGTAAACTTATCATCACAAAAGTAGCAGAAGCCTTTTTCCCTTCTCAATTGCATTTTAGCCGGAGATATTTTCTTTATAGGAAGGGCTCGAAGAGGCTTAGCAAGAGGGGTAGGCAACAATGGAGGTAAGGAATCGTTAGAGGAATTTTTCTTCACCGGAAGTACTGCTACTCGAAGCTATAGAAGAATACTTCTGAGTATAATTTGAACTCCTTGGGTACCCCACTGGTGTATAATTTTTTCATATATAATAAAGTCATAGGACATTGCACAATCACATCTCTACGAATATCCTTATTCAAGCCACTTATAAAGCATGTAATAAAGCCTCAGCCGAAGAAAGTCCCTTAGATCTATTAGCCAATGCCATTAAATCGGAGATAATACTCAGAAACACTACCAAATTGTTATAGTTTAAAACAACTCCTATGTTGGGCAATCAAAAAAGACAGACCCAACTGAGATTCAAGTGTTGTAGTAAGCTCAGTCCAAGAGCAAATCGCATTAAGCCTTTGCAACATTTGAAACCATGGGACCACATCTTTCTCAAAATGAATAGCTGCAATATCCACAACAAATCATCATAACTTGCTTTCTACATCTAGTCCAAACGGCCAGTAGTGGGCTTCTGCAACTGAGTCACAACTTGTTGTTGGGCAATATCGCGGTCATGTTCTGCTTGATCGCGTAGTTCCAGCAGAATCATCAATCGCGTAAGTTCTTCCCCTCGATTCATAACTTGATTTTGCAAGTCCTATAGAATGCTATTTTCAGCCGTTTGACGTCAATGAAAACGCCAATGAAACAGTGTATATATAATCTGTTATATTCTTTCTCCAAATAAACTCAATGTTCTTCAAAAAACATAGTATGCAATTCTATACTGTAAATAACTAAAGCTGTAAAAATGGTCTAAGCACCGAAGAAAAAAAAAAACGGAATCTCCAGACCAATCACGTCCTTCCTGTCACACCTAAAACATAGGAAGAAAATCAGAGAGGGTTGTTCATACCAATATCATGCCACCTCATTCCTCAAAATCTCGTAAATAAATATTCTTCTGCCCAATACGTTTTGTTCTTCTCATTCCAAGGGTTTGTTGGTCTTTTTATTTGAAATATGGAGGTGCAGGAAGCAAGTACAGAGGTATATTTAGACGAAGCATCCCATAATCACTTTGAAAATTCAACCAGTGATCGTACGTTATTAGTTGATTTTGGTGAATTATTTAACTGTGATATGTCCCATTTACACGACCAGAAGAGGTCAACAATGGTGGTCTTATCTTCCTTTTGGTGTTCTGCACAATCAGTGATGGCCTGTGTGGCTATCATTATTGTGCGCTTCCAGCAAACTCACGGTGCCCAGGATCGTCCATTATGTGCTGCTTCTTCGTGTGGAAAAATTCGCAACATAACTTACCCTTTCCGACTCAAAGGCGATTCACCTGGTTGCGGCCTCCCAAGGTACGAATTAGATTGCGGTAAACAATGTGACCGTGTTCACCTGTTTTCAGGGAAATACCATGTGCAGATATCGATTACGAGACATTCAAGATCCAATTGACTGATGCAGGTGTTGTGGAGGACACTGCTTGATCCATTCTCGCTATTTCATGTTTCACAGAACTTCACTTACGTTGGTAGTTTGACAATTATGCGACTGATACGCTAACTATCTGGAATGGGGAATGGCTTCCTGATACTCCTCCGTCTATAGCGTTTCTAAACTGTACTGATCCAGTAACCGATGATCCTCGATACGTGGAAGTGAATGGCATGCTTTGTGATTCTAGAGGTCATGTCTATGCTGTTCTTCATTCCAGTGAATTCAAAATGAGGGACATCAGGTTGGGTGCCATTTAATAGTTGCTACCTTTGCAAACTGGAACAATGGCACCAACGTTTCGTATGTTGATATCCACGAGTGGCTGCATGATGGGTTTTGGTTGTCTTGGGCACTAGTTAAATGTATAGACCAATGTGGAAAGGGTGTGGCATGCTCCATCAATCAAACTACGAATCAAATCGGATGTTATCAGAACTATTGCCATGTTATGCAGTTTGACTTTGGAGAAGGAAAGTGCGGTGAGAAAAAATTCTTCTACCGCAATTTTTCTTTCCCTTTTATCGAGTACCAATTTTAGTGAAACGTGTTGTACAAACAAATAGCTTTAATCTTTACAATATATGCTAATGTTTTCTTTTCCTGTTCTAGGCATTCAGCACCATATTTTTGAATACGTAGTTGGAATTCCTATCTATATAGCACGTAAGAGCTTTCTCCCATATCTTTGTCCTTTCAATTACTAGTGTACTGACTACTTAAAGTTAATCTATATTTTGACTGATTAGTAAGCTGTACAATTTCTGTACGATTCATTCTGATAACCTGCAAGTTGTGCATCAAAGTTGATAAATTTTGAAACGCATATCGTTCTGTACTCTAACTCAACAAGTAGTGTGAAAGGAGTTTCTAAACAAAAAGCCTTAAAGGGATTTCAATGGGATTTCCGTTATACGTTCACGATATTCTCCAAATTTATTCAACATTAATCTAGATGTATCTGTTTGAAAAGGGTTGTTTTGGGAAAGGACCAGGAAATGGACCTCCTCAAAACATCATACAAATGACAAACCAAGAAGTTATTTGAACGCATTTCATGACGCTAGAAATGCATAGGATGGATCCTTAGGATGAACGTTCTCTGAAAAAAACGTATGTTTATTTATAATATGTATCTAAAGTATCTTAAAATACTGAGTGTTCTTTTGTTTTGTTTGTGCTATTATATTGCGTTATTTTGCAGGTTATTTTGAATTCGCCATAATGGGTAATGCCTTGTCAATGATTTCATATTTGAATAAACTTACTGATTAAACACAACCATGGTTTATTGCCTTTACTCATTCCATGAAAATTTATAGCACAGGACTAATTATAGAATAACACGTCTACATTACTTTTCGAAATGGCAAGTGGAAGGAGATCTCATTTTGGTAGCCCCTATTCTAATATTTGTGGCAGCCAGGTTTCTATTTGGATTCGCACTTTTGCTTGCACTATTTATCTATACGTGGCGACGTAGGCATTATTCATGTATGAAAACAATTGAAAAACCGTTTTGTACACAATAATCTAAATTCCTATTAGTACGGATATAGAGAAATTAAGAAAAATGAGCAGAGATTTCAAAGTTAAATTGGGTGAAGGAGGTTTTGGATCTGTATACAAAGGAAAACTTCAAAGTGGACCAGAAATAGCCATAAAGATGTTGAAAAAAACGAAAGCTGATGGAGAAGAGTTCATTAATGAAGTGGCTAGTATTGGAAGAATACATCATGTAAATGTGGTACAATCTTATGGATATTGTGCTGAAGGAGAAAATCGTGCTCTGGTTTATGAATACATGACAAATGGTTCGTTGGATAAACACATCTTCTCCAAAAAGGAAAGTGTCCCTTTAAGTCATGAGAAAACATATGAAATATCTCTTGGCATAGCTCGTGGGATTGCTTATCTTCATCAAGGCTGTGATGTGCAAATTCTACATTTTACATTAAGCCGCATAATATTCGTCTGGATGATAACTTCATCCAAAGGTTTCAGATTTCGGACTTGCCCAAAGTTGTATCCTGTTAAAGATACGTCTATTGCTTAACTAAAGTAGAGGAATTTGGGGTTACTGGCTCCAGAATTATTCTACAATAATATTTGGTGGAGTATCAAATAGGCTGATGTATATAGTTTTTTTGGGATGCTTTTGATGGAAAATAGGAAGTAGGAGAGGAACTAAATCCTCATGCAGAAGAATTCAAAGCCAACAGTACTTCCCTTTTGGATCTTATGACAATTAAAAGATGAAAAAGATACTCAAATAGAAGATGCCTCAGAAGAGGATAAGATTTTGGTGAAAAGAATGTATGTAGTTGCGCTTTGGTGTATACAATTGAATCCAAATGACCGTCCTTCAATGAAGAGAGTTGTGGATATGTTGGAAGAAAGAGTTGAAAGTCTTGAAATGCCTCCTAAGCCTGTATTATCCCCATGAAACAATTGAACATGATCGCGGAGAGGACTACAAACCAAGGCATCATGGAGTGGTTCAACCAGTTCTAGCAATAATATTCATTCGGCAAAACTAACACTTTATCATCCATGGCGAGCCGATGGCTTGCTTAACGGACAAAGTTAACATGTCATATTAAGTATGCGAGAGGATCGCAAAAAAAATTGCACATAGAAAAAGGCTCCAAGAGGTTCAGTGTTGGGAAATCCGGTTTTAGATTTTCATCTGCTTTTATGTGAAAATAACTGGCTTCTTCAATATGCAACATAATTGTGACAACTGGGTTCTCTATGTTTGGAGACCATGGTGGAACCTTTATCCTATTGGGCATAAATATTTTAATCCCTGCGGTAAAAACTGGTTTGTAACGTCTTAGGGTATAAAAGAAACATGTTGTAAATCTAAATCCGTCTTTGTAGTAGTATAAAAAGAACATTTGTAGTAATATAAAAATATGCAATATTGTTTTAAAATTGGTTACTTAATAATTAAAACATTTTTATTTGAATTTATTGTGTTATGTATCAATTTTACTATCCATGTATAAGTTTAGTTGAAACATCCATTGCTTAATATAGATGACAGAGAAATCAGATTCATTAAGTCACTATTAGGCGTATTTACTTATGATATGAAAAAGAAAAACGTCTCCATTATTACGATAAAACTAAGTTAAAGGACTAAAAAACAAATTTAAAAAGAATAAGTTAAAAGAGTTCAAACAAAAGTTTATAATTTATTAGGTATTTATTCACAAAATAATTTAGTAAATATTAAAAATAAAAATAAAAGTATATAAGAAACTTAAAATTTATTTACAACTATTATTGCATTTTAGATTTCCTAATTTAATTGAGTACTTAAAGTTTTAGGTCTATTATAGATATATGCATTATACCATAACTTATTCTAAACCTAAATAGTATAGAACTCATGGCTTTAAAGAGCACTAGTAAAAAAAGTAGATTCTAATGCGCCATATAGGCTTCGGTTATGCAAAACCCGAAGCGTAAAAGGTTATATACCTCGGTTACACCTTGACTTGAGGCAGAACGGTGATATTGCCTCAGTTAGAAGAAGACCCGAGACCTATACCTCCACTTTTTGTCTGACAACTTTTTGAAAAGGCCCTATTGCCTCGGGTTGTCAGGCAACCGCTGCGTATACTCCTGTGCAAGTCAGGCTTTTCGCCTATATACATGATGCACCTACTAGGCACCTGCATTTCAGCACTTTATACCTCGGGTTTGGCTCTTAACCGATGCCATATTGTGCTCTTCACTCCACTTCTCCGATCTTAACCTACACACGCTTCATTTGCACAACCCAACAGCTTCTTCTTTCTTCCCCTCTGCGGTTTCGTCCACCACTGCCACTCCTTGCTAGTGTTATCCCATTCTTCCTCTCCTTGTGCTGCTAGTGGTCTCGCTTGCCTCCTGCTCGTTGTCGTTCTTGGCGTCGTGCCTCCTGCCTGCGCCGCCGCGCCATTGGTGCCCCACCGCTGCTGCCTGCCATGCTTCCTCTAACGACGCCGCTTATGTCGCTGTTGTAGCCTCCGTCGCTATAGCCTCCGTCGCTATAGCCTCCGCCACTGTTGCCTCTATCGATGTTGCTTCCACCACTACCAAGCCCAAATGGCCAAATCTGTTAGGGTTTCTGCCTCCTCCCCCTAAAATCAAAGAGAGTATCTTCATCTTCATCCACCACTCCAGATCGCCAAGCCCAAATCGCCAAGTCGCACCAGATCGGTGAGCTCTCCGTCGTCGCCACCACGGTGCTTATCGTCAAATCCTCACCGCGAGTCGCAACTACCATCTCATCCCTTAATGGAATGTTGTCGCCGCCCTAAACAGGCAATCTTCTTTTTCGAACAAGTTTTATTGTGAGGAGACATGCATTTGGGAAATCTTGGGTCTCTATTTTGATCTTGGGTTGGGATTTTGTGCTATTGTTTTGATTTTGGGTGTGTGGTGCCACGTGGGAGAAAACGACAGTGGATAGCTTGTGGTACTGCATTTCATCCATACCTGACAACGATGGCATGATTTCGTTTGTATCTCTTAACAGCAATGGCCTGTCATTGAAATTTGCTGGCCTTTTAGGGTGTTGTACGTAATCCTAATGTTCATTGTTGGTTTAACAGAGTAGTTGAAAAATAATATGGGTTTGTGATTCATGTCTTTTCATACTCTCAGGCATGTGAACACTACTTTGGATGTGTTGGAAATCCTCATCCTGGGAACACCTTGGTAAAAGGTGATATAGAACTTAGGTTTCTTTTTGCTTTCAATAAGTATATGGTTTTAATTTTTGGTTCTTCTTGTTTGTTTGTTATGGAGAAGAGGACCTAGGATCTCCGACTAGGTCTTCTGGATGAATTGGGGAATTACTGCTGATGGCTATGTAGCATTTGTTGATGATGCAGAATTGCTTAAAGTCCTATGATGAATTGTTATGAAAAACTCCTCTAATGTTAAATTTACTTCTACCATTATATATTCAAAATTTCTAAACAACAAAAAATCCAAAATTACAGCATGGTTCAGTACAGGCCTAAAAGCCTAAAATATGAAAAAAAAAACAAGTTACTACCTCGGTTACCAAAAAATCGAGGAATAATCCTACCCTCTTCTGATTCAGTCCATACCCGAGGCAAAAAGCTTACCCTTTTTTACCTCGTTTGTATATGTTTCGGTTGCAGAATCGGTATCTATAAGCAAAAACAACCGGTGTCTTTTCCTCTTACTGTACTAGTGGAGTTATTGCCAAAAAGAACTCATAAACGTCGTATCTCTATATGAAACGATGGTCTTAGGAGAATCATGAATTTTCACATGATGAAGGTGTTTGCTACCATTTTGCTATTGAACTCACTGCAAACAAGAATAAAATGAGAAAATTTGGACAACTTATCCATTGCACTAGTGCAGAATTGGCCTTTAACTTCACCTCATAGACGTCGGTCCACCAAACAACCAACGTAAATTATTGACCGGTGGCATTTTCGTAAATAAGTGGGCACAGAGACGTCCTTTAGGAGGGGCCCCGACGTCTATACTATTGTAGACGTCGGTGCCTCTCCTAACGGACGTCTATATGGCTGACAGGGTAGGTGAGGAGTTATTTTTTCAGCCATTTAGACATCCATTATGAGGGGCACCGACGTCTATAATAGTATAGACGTCGGGGCCCCTCCTAACGGACGTCTAGGTGGCTGACAGGTAGGTGAAACGTTCACTTAGACGTCGGGGCCCCTCTAAACCGACGCCTATAAGTCCCGCGAATATGAATATTTAATTCAGAAAGACGTCATATTAGTTAGGGCCCCGACGTCTATTATAGACGTCGGCACCCCGCAGAACCCGATGTCTATAGCCATTTATACTGAAAACGCGAACCCACGAGGAGTTACGCTCACTGTTCATCGTCTTCCCCGCGTTTTCTCTCTTAGACATTGCATTTTCAGGTGTGTTTCCTCCCTTTTGGACCGTTTAAATTTACTTTTACTCCAATTAAATTACTCTTTAATGAAATATCACTAGTGCAGAAAGGGCTTTAGACGTCTGTTATTTTTGCCTTTTGACGTTCGATCTGCACCCGACGTCTATGTGGGTGACGTTAGTCAGATGTCTGTTGTGCTAGGCCGGACGTCTATATAGACGTCTGTTCTGACACAAACGGACGTCTATATAGACGTCTGTTCTGGCACAACCAAACGTCTATATAGACGTTTGTTCTAACAGGAATAGACTTCTATAGAGACGTCCGTTTGTGTTAGAACAGACGTCTATATAGACGTCTGGTTGTGCCAGAACAGACGTCTATATGGCTGAACGGGTTGTTTAGGGTTACGGGGTTTGGACGTCCGTTCTGGAGGGGCCCGACGTCTATAATATTATAGACGTCCGGGCCCCTCCGGAACGGACGTCTAAAAGGCTGACGGGGAAGTTGAAGAGTTGATTGCTTCAGTCTTTTAAACGTCCGTTCTGGAGGGGGCGGACGCCTATAATATTATAGACGTCGGGGCCCCTCCGGAACAGACGTCTACACACTCACTTATTTACATTTATGCCATCGGTCAATTATTTACGTTGGGGTTTTGGTGGACCGACGTCTATGGGGTGACGTTAAAGGCCAATTCTGCACTAGTGTATCTTCCATTTGAACCGATTAAAATTCGTTTTCCTTACGTTGTGGTGCAGTTTCTGGCTTGTGGTTGGGCGGCGCTTTTGACTCTTTTTGGCCTACGTTTTTGGGCCTGCATTACTCCATTTCCCTACATTGCTTTTTTAATCTGCTAAAAAGGTTATCTTCTTTGTTGATAACTTTTTTGTATTGCATGTTATTGGCTTTTGTGTATACATGTTCATGGCTTTTGCGTATGCATGTTTTTGACTTTTAGGTATGCATGTGTTATTGGGTTTTGAATATGCATGTGATAGTTGTGTTGTTATAATTGGCATGTTAGATTATAAGTATCAAATCATTGAGTGAAACTTAGTTTCCATTTGAAATTTAACACAAACGATTAATCTTTTAATCGTTTGTATTAAATTTTGAATTGTCCGATTGGATAGTTTGGGAAAATTATTTCATAATTTGCTATAACATGTACGTTGGAGTTTATGGATAATATTGATAAAATTTTGGTTCAGTATTTGTGTTGTTCTCCGGATGCATATTTGATTGTGATCATCCTTAACTACTCTCATTTCGTGTATTTCGGAGACCAATCCGAGATCTTATCAAATTTATGATGTAGACTTCTTTGCATGTATTTTAGCAATTTATGAAAAATAATTTTTCTGAGTGGGTAGGGCCTAACCTTGTGAGAGTTAAAAAAATGAAACTGATGAATGATTTTACGAACATAGTATGGATCGAAGCTGAATGAATGAACGTCGCATCAGTAAAGAATATGAGAAGGGTGTTTCGAAGTTCTTGCAATATGTTGATATAAATT